TGTCATCAGCAAACTTTATGATGTGGTTGGAACTGTGAACTGCCGCACAGTCATAAGTCAGCAGAGTAAACAGCAGTGGACTAAGTACACTGCCCTGGGGGGCTCCAGTGCTCAGTGTGATGGTGTTAAAAATGCTGTTCCCGATCCAGACTGACTGAGGTCTCTCAATAAGAAAGTCCAGGATCCAATTGCAGAGGGAAGTGTTCAGGCCCAGCAGGCTCAGCTTTCCAACGAGATGCTGATGGATGATGGTGTTGAATGCTGAACTGAAGTCTATGAACAGCATCTAACATAAGTGTCCTTTTTCTCAAGATGAGTGAGGGCCAGTGGTGGCTATGCGTCATCTGTAGAGTAGTGATATGCGATATGAACAGAGGGTCCAGTGAAGGAGGCAGCTGGGTCTTGATGTGCCTCATTACAAGCCTCAAAATACTTCATGATGATGGGTGTGAGTGCAACGGGATGATAGACACTGAGGCAAGACATTGGAGATTTCTTTGACATGGGGACACTGGTGGTGGTCTTGAAGCATGCTGGAACAACAGCACTGCTTAGTGAGATGTTGATGTAAGAACATCTGCTAGCTGGTCTGCACATTCCATGAGCACTGGGCCAGGAATGTTGTCTGGTCCAGCAGCCTTCCGCGGGTTAACTCTGCATCATGTCACCTGTGGACAGGCACGGTACCTGGTTGCTGGGTGGAGTGGTGGTCTTTCTTGCTGCCACATCATTCTGTGCTTCAAACTGTGCATAGAAGTGTGCTTATGCACAATAGCTTGTGACAGTTTGGCCCTCTCCGTCCTTTGTCACCCACTCTAAAGGAGTCCTTCAGCAGCATGCGTGGTTTGGAGCATCTGACGAGCGGTCTGTATGCGGGTATCAGCATTACAGAAATGTGGTCTGAGTAGCTGAGGTGGAGGCGGGGCTCCGCCCGATATGTGTTGGAAATATTAATGTAAACAAGGTCCAGCGCATTCGCCCCTCTCGTTGCAAAGTCCACATGTTGATGGAATTTTGGTAGCACTGACCTGAGATCTGCGTGATTAAAGTCACCAGCCACAATAAACAGTCTGTTCGGGTGCTTGTTCTGCAGTTCACTGATGGCTCCATAAAGTTCACAGACTGCCTCCTTGGCGTTCTTGCTGGGGGGAATTAAAACCGCTGCTATGAACGCGGAGGGGAATTCTCACAGAAGGTAAAAAACGGCCTACACCTGACAATCATAAACTCCACCAGCAGAGAATAGTACTTTGCGACAAGCACAGAGTTCTTACACCATTCCGTGTTGATGTAAACACACGCCTTCTCCGCATGTTTCCCTGTCGGAGCTGCACTGTCGGCACGAAACAAAGCCAGCCCGTCCAGCTGAATGGGGGCATCGGGAATGTTGTCACTAAGCCATGTTTCAGTAAAAACCAAAATGCAGCAGTCTCTGAACTCTCGCTGGGTAGTCTGCTGGAGCCTGATGTAGTCCAGTTTATTGTCCAGCGAGCAAACATTTGCGAGAAAAATGGCCTGTACAGCAGGTCGGCTAGGGAAAGCCTTTAGCCTAGCACGAACCCCAGCCCTCTTCCCACACTTCTTCCTCCTTGCACTGCGCTTTCGGCGGACGCTTCCCCGGCCTCCCTATTCAGGAAATGCCGAGTGTGTGTGGAAAAAGGTGACCACCCACTCAAGGTCAGTGTCTTGTATGCGTCCCTTCCTGCCGGTGTGTTCAGTAAAGCAGAATCAGGGCCACCCCTGTGTTTCTTCTTCTGCTGATGTTACAGTACTAGGCTTATTATTCAGTAACAACAGGGACCTCAATACAAACTGGTTGAGCTATTCTCAGGTTATAGAAGTGTGTAATAAAACTCTGGGGCTGCTGTTGGGGCCATTTAAGGGGTTAACAGTTGCTTTTCAATTATTAGTTTTTGTTTTTCACACGGCCATCTCACCTACTGGGTGTTGAGCAAAGAGCATGCACTGCACAATGTGTGAGAACTACACATTTTCTCTCTGTCTGTGTGACTGTCACTACTAGCAGTAATTCACAGGAAGTATGAAAAAAGTGGTTTTCATGGTTCGTGGTTTTAGTGGTTCGTGGTTCTGAGAATGTAAATTGTCAGTTCATAACAAAAGTTAGAGGTGCAGAAAGGGGCCACTAGATGCACTGTGGTGTTGTGTTACAGGAGAATGATGGGGTTGTAGAAGCCGCCAGTGGAGATGTTTTTGCCTGCTCCCAGCTTGAAGGACTTTTGGGTAGGCTGAGGAGTTAAATTAAGTGGGAACCACTAAACAGTATAGAGGCCCTCCAGAGCTGAGTTCGAGCAACGTGGCTATAAATATATCCCTCTTCCACCGTGTCACTGTTAATGATCTCCCACAGCATCTCAGCCTGCTGAAAATACATGTGAGCCTAGACTATCTAACATCTTAACAAGAAAGATTAGTAATAGACGAAGTTTTAGATTTATGTTTTCTTTTTTTATTTGTTTATAGTTTCCTCTCTAGTGTTAGTTACTACCAGTTTTTATCAGTTATCTGTAGTTATATAAATGCTCTGGAGGTAGTATTTGCAAACTGCTTCGTGACGTATAGGTTAAGGCAGTGGTTCCAGCTTACAAGCTATACAAAGCCTCTTTCACTGTCATATCAAGATTGACATGAGGTGCCCAGGGTGCAAACAGCGACCAAAACATGGATCTCCGTTTGAAAACAATAGAAAAAGGAACCTCTGTACTCAAAAAAGGTGAACACAACAATCAGTGTGAGTTGGGAGGCCACTGATGACTATAGAGCTTATTGGCAAGATGGTCTGTCAACTTCGACTTCAACCGTCTACTCTGGGCAAGTGCCAAGATGAGGTGTAGCTAAACTTGAATGACACCATCAAATATGTAGTGAAGATTACAACAGGAAAACAAGAATCGTGTCTCTTATATTAAAGCATGCTTAATACAACCAGAGACATAAAACAACAAGGTCAATTTTGATTTCAGGTCAACTTCATTCACCAGTGATAATGTTCCAGCATTCAGTTGCTGTGCTTGGAGGTGCATTTTTTCAATTGCCCTCTCAAAAAGAGCGTGTTAGAAGAAGTGGTGTAACACAGTGGTAAACATGACCCCATCTCAACTTTTTTGAAATGTGTTGCTGGCGTCAAATTCAAAATGAGCATCTTTTTGTGTTTTTTTACATTTTGCACAGCTTTTTTGAAAACAGGGTTGTATGCATGTATAAAGCACTCTTCACATGTAAAAGTGTGGTAGTGACACTGATGTGTTGTGGTGGAATAACGGATGATATAGCTGACAACAAGAAGTCAGAGAGGAACCTTTTCTGCATCTCTTCACATATATGAGGTTTGTTGCTAGATGACAGTTACAGCTCTGTACAGTTCTTTTATCTCTGTTTACACAAAATAGAACTTTGCACATCATTAAAGTTACCTTTGTGAAGTGATTAGTTAATGCCACTATCAAGTAAAGCCTCTACGCTCTTCAACAGAGTATGGCTTTTTACAGTTGTATGAAAGTTTGGCCACATTACAAACCCAATTCCAAAAAAGTTAGGCCAGTGTGTGAAATGTAAATAAAAACAGAAAATACACTTTGACAGGTATTTAAACAAAAGCAATAAAAAAACGATTTTTAAAGATTTTTAATGTTTTATCATATCATCTTCATTGTTTTTCGTAAATATATGCTCATTCTGAAATGGATGCCTGTAACACATTTCAAAAAAGTAGGAATAGGGCAATTTAAGACTAGGAACACATTTCAAAAGAGGTGATATAATCACGCTTAGGTGTAAAAGGAGAATCCAGGAGAGGCCTAGTCCTTTGCATAAGCAAGTAATCCAACTGTTTAATAACAACATTCCTTAATGAGTATTTCCATCAATGAGCACAAGGATTTTAGGTATTTCACCCTCTATGTTGCTTAATACTGTTAAAAGATTCAGGGAAACCCTAAAAATATCTGTGTGCAAAACATGCTTCTGTGAAGGATTTCACCACCTGGGCTCCTTTGATGAACCAAAGTGTGTATATATATCTTACTGTATACAGTAGTGTTCTGCTACAGGCTGGCACTGGTGCCTGATACTTTGGAGACATGGCTATGCAGATGACTACATGCAATGTCTTTTGCTTTGTGCACGCCCTCCAGCAAAGAGACTAATTGTTGTTTATGTTGGCAGCTATTCGTTTAGGTTGTGTTTACACGTTGTTTGTGCTGTTTAGTGTCGGGGGTTGTGGGTTTTGTGTGTTGAGTGGGGGTCACTGTCAGGCTGAAGTGTGTGGCTACTGGTGACCACTCATCCGAGGTCGGTGTCTTGTATGCGTCCCTTCCTGCCGGTGTGTTCAGTAAAGCAGAATCATGGCCACCCCTGTGTATCTTTTTCTGCTGATGTTACAATACTAAGGCTTATTATTCAGTAACAACAGGGACCTCAATACAAACTGGTTGAGCTATTCTCAGGTTATAGAAGTGTGTAATAAAACTCTGGTGCTGCTTTTATAACAGTTAATTGAATACAGCTCTGACTCCCTCCTGTAATGATCTGGTCTCTGATCTAAACACTAGATTAAAGGAAACTCTTGACATTCTCGTTCCAGTCAAATGGAAGCAAAAAACTTGCTTACTCATAAAAATGAAATATACCAGCTTAAGAGAAATTGTCATAAATCAGTGCACATATAGAGGAAATCTAAACATCTTCACTCTCCTCTGACCCAAGACCAAAATACATTTTTTGTCACATAAATATAAAGATTATATTCAGTCTGTTACTCCACAGCCTGGACAATAGGGATAAAGATAACACACCCATCATCAAAAATCATGTTGTCCCAATATAAACCTGAAAATGAAAAGACCCTAGTTCTCAGAAATCATGTGATCCTGTCATAAACAAGTTGGAAAAAAAAGACCCCAGCTCTGAGAAATCACATGGTCTGTTCTTATTTCCTGAGCTGCACATCCCTGGGTTAGACTTCTAATAGTAACCACCACTGCTGTTCTGCAGAAGCCTTGTCTGATTGCTTGGTTTTGTTTGCTTGAGATATTGAATCGTTTATGTTTGGAGCCAAATACTACTAGAGAATAACGGACATCCACATTTTACACCTGCAGGACAAGCATCACAAAGGTAAGTTAAACCTGCAGTCAGAATAAACAGTGTTTGTTTAATGTAGTTTAATAGTACTGATACTGTTTAATCCATGCTTTTCAAATGGAAGGATTGTAATTAGACAGTTCATCATAGATTTAAAACTGTTATGATTCCCTGCCTAATCTATACTTCAATAAAAAGGATGCAAAGACTTCGTCTTGAAAAGATTGTGAGTGCTGTTGATTAATATGTTTCTTTTTCTCTGTTTCTCCATTTCTACTCTGCATTATGTAATGTCTATTGTGTAATTTGTGATTTTGAGGACTAAACAAAAGTTTAAAAAATTGCCAGTGGTGTTGGAAACTGGGATATACAAGATTTCCCATGTGTAAATTGCGTTCAACTGGTTGACAAAGTCATATTTACAACTGGCAAACTCAGGATTCTAGATGATACACAAGCTTACAAGCTGTGATGTATATTGCACCTTTTACACAAGTGAAAAACTCTGAACTTGCAGTGAAAAAATTATAGTAATTACTCACATACATACATATATATATATATATATATATATATATATATATATATATATATATATATATATATATATATACTCCACATGGTGCACATTTTTGTGATCAAGCACACCTGATTTAAGTTAACTTTATGTCCATTTTCATTTATGGCATTTGGCAGACGCTCTTATCCAGAGCGTCTTACAATTTGATCATTTTATGCAGGTAGGCGAATGTAGAGTCTTGCCCAAGGACTCTTATTGCTTACCCAGGCATGGACTAAACACCAGTCTACAGCGTAGAAGGCAGAGGTGTTGCCCACTATACTATACCAACCATTTCCACAGTTGTTTATTCTAAATGGTCTATTTGTAAAGTGGGTTGAGTAAATAAATCTAAATCTAATGAAGTCTATTACTATTTTACCTCATGATGTACACAAATGACATGAATTTAACTCTAGTAAAACGCTAACTGAAGACCAAATGCAGCCCTAATATATTTCTTGTTCATTTTGTTCATTTGTTTTGCTTTGTTATGGTGATGTTATGGGATGGAATCCAGTTACACAGAGGTCCTTGAACTTTTTAAACCGAGGACCCAAATGTGAGAATTGATGACAAACTGGCAGAAAACTGGTCTCAGTGGTGCAGAATTACTGGTTATATGTTTTGTGGATGTGTTCATATACAAACAACAGTGTTGCATTCAAGTTGTTAGTCAGACATTGGTGTTTGTGCTTGATTAAAAGCTGTCATCCGCTCCTCCTCTTTCCACTTCTTATTTCTCCTGCCCATCATATCAGCTCTGTTGTTTCAAAGATTTGTTTACACCTCAGTGACTGAATCATGCAGAAATCATGCAGAATTCATGCGAAAATCTGTGGAATTCCCCTTTCTAAACTTCACATTGCCTTTTTGGGAGGAATAATAAAGTGATCCATATTTAAACAGCTAACTAGCTCACTTAAAGCTGTTTTTAAAAACAAGCTCTTGCTGAAGACCAAGATGCGATCAGGGAGCCTCATGAGAAAGTTGACTGCCCCCTTGTGGTGGAATTAAAACTTTGCAGTATTTTTATCATCTATAGTTCCATTTATAGCCCATGTGTCAAACAAAAGGCCTGCAGGCCAGAAGACATAATGTCTGACTCTCCTTCCTCAACAACAGTCTATGGGACAGCGGTTACACCTCAATTCTACACAGTTCTGCACAATTCTACACCAGTCATTTCACCAAAATGCATTTTAGCCGCAGTTCAACCAACATGCACACTTAACATCAGCTCAGCAACTGAGAAATTGAGCCCAAGTATTAATGAACTTGCAGCAAAGAAAGGATGCTCGGTGTCTAGTTCAAGCAAATAGGTAGGGTTAAAAGACTGAGCACCTGCAGACATTTAAAGTGTCCACGTAATATTTTAAGGTGTACTACAAGTGAATAAACAATGGCCAGTTGGAGTTACAGCACAACAATAATTAAAAATGAAATAAAAACTTGAATTGAATCTGACACCTGACTGTCATCTAACAGAAACAGTAATAAATGTTTGTTGCTACATTGTGATTATGTATTCATGTTCTACACTGATAATGAAGATTCATTTGATTTCAGTTTGATTTCTGTGTTTAATTCAACAAAACTTCACCTGTAGACGCTTTAATTTGATGCATATCTTTGATGTCACACTGTAATGATGCATATTTATATGTATGGCTTTATAAGAGAAGACGGAATATGAACAAACATTTGGTAGATGGCAGATATGCAGAAAAATAACACCCTATTAGACCATTTAATAAAGCTAGACCATGAATAAAAGAAAGGCTGATCTGTGATTTGTTTCTGTTTTTAGAGTCTCAAACATGTTTAAACTGCTACAACTTTCAATAGTTCTCAAGCATATAAGGGATACCCACTGGAACTTGATACTTAACACTCCACCCAATATGACACATGAAAAGGAAATAAACAAATTAATAAACACATTTTGCAATCTACACACACACACACACACACACACACACACACACACACACACACACACATACATATGTACTGTATATACACTACACCTTTTCTAGTCTAGGATTAAACTTCTCTTTAATGTGCAATTACAGTATAAACAAAATCCCGGCTTTTCTCCACACAGCTACTTCATATGGACTAATAAAGACATCCTTTACAAGAACAGAGCAGTATTTATAAAAAGCTGGTTTGACAACAATATTCTGTTGGTGGCTCGGTTACTGAACTAGGAGAGACTTCTTTAAATGATCATGAATTTCTCTTATAATTTCCCTGTAACTACAAAATAATTTGCAATGGGTTTTGATGCAATCTCATCTGGAATTTTTAATGCTAAACAAATCCATACAGTTACCCAAGACTGATCTATGCAGCTCTGCTTTCTTTAACCCAGCCGTCAAAAAAATAACAGACAAATACACTCTGTTTGTGATGTTTGAAATGGGAGCAAGAATAATTTGTCATTAATTCATAGATTTTTCTTGTTAAATTCTATAATCACAAATGCAAATATAGTACAAAAAGGCCTTTTTTCCTCAGTCTACATTTTGGATTTCAAATTTTAAGGCAACTGAAAATTCTCAGAAGAAAAAGTCTATAAAACTCCACGGTACATACAGTGTTTTCACTTAATAAATATATGTCACTTCTCTTCTCCCCCTCCTAGCAAGCTGTTTCCCTGTATTTCTTTGTTGTCCTTATGTCCTCATGCATCTTTGTATCGTTGTAACTACTATCGAATTTTTAAAAAATGAATACAAGAGCCGTCATGTAGGAATATTTCTGAGAATGCAGTCACATGGTTTTGGTGAGCAGGAGACTTACAAATTAAAACAGCACAAATATTTCCTTTAATGATACAAACGAGACCATTTTGGTAGTTGATGGGGTGCTGAGTGACATCACTTATTAAAAAATTATTCTTTTGCCAATAACTTATAGAAAAAGAAAACTCAAAATGGTGCCAGCACAAATGATGACTCTTATAGCCCAAACCAATACAAACGCGGCACAAATGAATAGAAATGTTTTTATTCCTTTTCTGGTCACACAGAGGTCATGTAGTACCCCCTAGTGGTCACAAAAGCAGTTTTCCATTCGTCCTCCTCCCTTATTCTGATAAGGTTATAAGCGCTTTAGTAAACTCGAAGCCCTCTTTAACTGTTTAAGGGCCACAGGAAATTTTACCATGACCAAATTTAAGCCTCTGGAATGTACACAGGGGCACAGAACTCCATCCTTCTTTTCAATAAAGCAGAAGCTAGCTGAGGAAGACAGTTCTCAGCATTAGAGGGGGTTGAATCTGAGCCAGGGAAATGTAGCTCCACTTGCTCATGTCACTCAGCAGTTTCAAACTTTTAATCTCTAACCACTTTCCCTTTGACCAAAAATACTACTGCTACTAAAAGAAAAGTACGCTAACAGTAGAGTGACAATAATTCATTAAAAAAGTATGAATGAAAAAATGTGCGGGCCTGTGATGAGTGGAGGTGAAACGCTTTCCCAACAGTAATGTAATGAGATTTATAAGCCTATATATGTGAGTGTGTTTGTGACAGCCTGTGAAGTTACTTCAAACCTATAAACTAGTTGGCTTGTCAGCTAGGTTAAGCTAATGTTAGTGTTAGCTTAACCCCTTTTCTTTGCCAATATTACTGCTAGTACTTCTAGATTTTTTCAAGTGTAGAATTCTGTTACAGGAGCGACAGATTCTTTACTTCTTTGTGATTGCTCATATCTCTCACCTTAGAGTTTTACAATTTTACATTAGACCAAAACAAACCTAAAATGACAACAGAGCCTATCAAACTTCTGTTCCTATGCTGACAGATGCTGTACAGACTAAACATTTCCACTGCGGTTCTAGAAGTGACTCATTACTTCAATACACTGTACAACATTATTCATTTGTTAAACTTACTAATGCAAATCTAGTAACATGTTAACACTATTTTTTGTACACTGCCTTAGTAACTTGGTAAATAAATTTATTTGGACACAGACTGAAGAGTCTTCTGCCCAAAAAGCTTCCCAGCATTCTTAGCGGTTTGGCTGGTTGAAGCCATTTGTTCATTACAGTATGAAACAATCCATTTAAATAATAGAGTTGTTTCAATATATCACTGCTGTCAGAACAAAATCTTGCATTTCCAAAATAACTTTACAGGAGGAGGAAAAAACTGATTTATATTAAAAATAAAGCATATGTAACCAGACTTTTTTCAGTCATTTTCATCATGAAATTTACAAATAATGTCAAGCACAACACACATTTTCAAATGATGTCAAAAACTGAAAACGACAAAAATGGAGATACAAGATTTTGTTACGACAGCAACAACATACAAATAACTTACACAGGGACGAGTATTTGTAGCAAAGCATAAGGAATGATGTAGTTTATTCATATCATGACATTTTTGTGCATTACTGTAGCACAGAAGAGGCGTGACCAAAAATAATATTTGTACCAGTAACACACTTTATTAAGTTTCTTTACACTTAAATGGACGTGCAGGGGAAATGTAAATAAATGAAGGGTAGATAAGGGCACATTCAAAACAGTAAATAAGCTGGCACCATTACTCAAAAGCAAGCCCTGAGTGCCACAATGTAATAGAAAGAAACTAGTTAACAGAAGTCAACCCACTCACATAAATGTGACTCTGCATAACAAAAAATACTCAGAAAACTTTGGTAATTCAGACAATTTTACTGAAATAAACTGTGTTATTAAGGGTAATTAAATGAGAGGTTAACCTGACTAATCTAATTCAAGCTAATCCTACTTGCTGTTGAAGTGTCGATTGGTGGAAAACAGTAACTATAACTCAAATACACTGTAAAAAATAATACCCCATATGTACTCCATAAAATTAAACAACAGATTACATACAGTATTAAGTAAATATTACTAGGTTTGGTTTTGAGTTAAAAACAACTCATTGTAACCATTTAACATTATGCATTCAATAAGAGTAGGAGTTAAAACAAAACATGACAAATTTAACTAAAAAAGTACTTGATAATATTTTTTTGATTTGAAGGACAAACCAGAAATAGTACTAATTACATAACATTGACTGTACTTTATGTGACTGGGTTAAAATGTCAGCTCATTTGTTTGATCATTCAGTACAGTCAAGTAAATTAAAATATTTTTAATTTTCATTTTATATATGACTTTACATAACTTTTATATGACTTTAAACAGACAAGCAATCCAAAAGAAATGGAATGTAATCAGATTATGTTACTTTAGTACTCATCTGGATCATAACACCATTTCCAACAAAGTTGGGACGCTGTGCAAAATGTAAATAAAAACAGAATAAAATGAAGTGCAAATCATTCAAACCCTATATTTAATTGACAGTAGAACAAGGGCAAAATTTCAATTATTGAAACTGAAAAATTGTATTTTTTTTAATACATGCCCATTTTGAATTTGATGCCAGCAACATGTTAGACGTATACATAGATGTCATGCAGACACAGCAGTAAGCTTTTTCTCTAGATTTGTCAAAGTAAATATATCTGCTAGACCTACTAAACTAGCTAGCTATTGCTAACAAACTATGGGAACTGCATTTCCCATGAGCCTGTATGCAGGGACAAAAACATGTGAGGGAAAATATAGAGTTAAACCAAGTATCCTCTCTGTTTAAACCACATTTGTTTAAAACAACATGACTTATGAAAATATATATTTTCAGTCTAAATTTAATGAACCAAAAATTAAAAATAAATAAATAAATGGCAATGAATTTTTTAGCCTCTACAAATATCGAAAAGGACGTTACCCCCGATCCATTTTGAATATTTTATCTGTCCTATAGCTGTCAAACGCAGTTCATTAAAGAGTTTTGCTTTGACAGCAAAGATACAACAATTTTGAGAAGCTTTTCAAACATTTTGCCGTGTTGAATACAGTATATTTATATTCAGTCATGTTGTAACAGGTTCTGCTAAGGGAAATGAGGTGATGTAAGGGGCCCATGCAGTAAGTTTTCAGTGAGCCCAAAAGAAACTTAAGAGCTGTAATTATTATCATAACACTGAAATTGTGGTCTGAAATTGTTCAACAGATCACTGATCACCCATAACTTCAGAGATCTTTGGCAAACGAACACAATCATCATGGCTTACAGGTGAGTAAAAATGCATTTAAGCTTTTTTGATGAGTCATCAGTAGGGATGTAATGATACACAAATTTCATGATTTGGTACATTTTGCCATTTTTCCTCATGATATTTTGATGCAGATGTAGAAAAAATTCTAACATGACTTCAACGTTTATTTTTGTATTTTATTTAGTTTTTTTTATTTTTAGTCATTTTTGAAGATATAAAATGAATAAAAAGAGCAAAGAAAAGTGCAATATCTATATAAAGTAAACAAAATGTCAGCACAAAACTTTATTTCCCAGCAACTTTATTTTTTGGTATAGCCATTACAGCCAAAATGTCTGACTGGTTTTGCGTATTCCCTTAGAACAGGGGTCGGCAACCCAACTGTTGAGAAGAGCCATTTTGTCCTCTCAACAAAAATCGAACCACCTTGGGAGCCACAACATTTTATGTCCATTTTTCTTGTAAAATGTCTCTCAACGTTCAATTAATTTTTTTTCTACAAGTCCAGCTTCTTTTTTCGAATTTTCCTGTGCCACCTTAAATGGCTCCTGAGACGCCAGAATGTAACTGCTGCACCATTTAAGGTGGAACGGGACAGTTCGAAGAAGAAGCTGATTTCAGTCATAGCATAGGAGTGCTCCACAAAACAAGCTAACTGAGTAAACTAAATCTATTTCAATAAGTCTGAATCATTTTGCCAATTTTTGGTCCCATGAAAGAAGCTAATGTTAAGCCTCCTCAGTTATTAGGGCAACATATGCTTTTGGATGAACCAGCTGCATGCCAGGCTGAAGCTGAAGCTTATCTTAATTTGATAGATTCTATTGGATAAACGATGTAACATCATAGACTCACTGGGTTAAAACATTACCAATATATTGCTTTGATTAATCCAGGTTTCGATATTCAGACTATAGTAAATTCAGGCTTAGATACTCAGGCCGTGAGTAATCCAGGTTTACGATCTCAGGCTGTGATTAAATCAGGTTTAGATACTCGGGTTGTGATTATTTTAGGGTTAGATAATCAGGCTGTGATTAATCCAGGTTTAGATACTCAGGCTATGATTAATCCAGGTTTAGATACTCAGGCTATGATTAATCCCTGTTTAGATTCTCAAGCGGTGATTAATCCAGGTGTAGATACTCAGACTGTGAATAATCCAGGTTTACAAACTCAGGCTGTGATTAATCCAGATGTAGTATACTCAGGCTGTGATTAATCCAGGTTTAGATACTCAGACTGTGAATAATCCAGGTTTACGATATCAGGCTGTGATTGATCCAGGTTTAAGATCTCAGGCTGTGATTAATCTAGGTTTAAGATCTCAAGCTGTGATTAATTCAGATTTAGATACACAGGCTATGATTAATTAAGGTATAGGCTTAGATACTCAGGCTGTGATTAATTCAGGTTCAGATACTCAGGCTGTGATTGATCCAGGTTTAGATACCCAGGCTGTGAATAATCCAAGTTTAGATAATCAGGGTGTGAATAATCCAAGTTTAGATACTCAGGCTGTGATTAATCCAGGTTTAGATACTCGGGCTGTGATTAATTCAGGTTCAGATACTCAGACTGTGTTTGATCCAGATTTAGATACCCAGGCTGTGAATAATCCAAGTTCAGATACTCAGACAGCTATTAATCCAGTCCCTGTTGAAAAAAAAAAAAATAACCATTTAAAACAAAACACCAACAAAAAGGGTTTTCTTATGTGTGCATTTAGAATGTCTGCCTCATATGGCCTTTTTTAGCTTTAATCCTTGTGTGTATAGTGCAAATAATTCTTCTATTATTTTTTCTTTTAGCTTTGTTTTACCTAAAGTCCTGTTACTCCAAAGTATTTGGGGTTATAATAATTATGACAATTTCCATTCCAACTAATTCTGTGTTTAGCTGTCTCTGTAAGATGGGGGATTTATTCACTCAGGTTTTCAGTGATAAACTTTTGTTGATTGATTTTGTTTTGTTGATCTGATCTTGCAGGTTAAATGATGCATCATCATCTTTAAATGATTTAATCAGGAAAAGTCAGATGCTCAGTCCAGGCCCACCAGCACTGCACCGTCTTTACACAACAAGAAGTAATCTGGACAAAGATGGCAAGATCAGAAAGTGGACATTTGGACAGAAATATGGAAATCTCCAAAACAAAACAATCCTGATGGTGGGAGAAACTGGAACAGGCAAGACCACTCAGATCAACACCATGGTCAATTACTTTCTGGGGGTGAAGTTTGAGGATAAAGTGTGGTTTGAGGTCACAGAAGAAGAAAAGAGAGACCAAAGAGAATCTCAAACGTCAAAAATCACTGTTTATGAGATAATTTCTGAGGAGAAACTCTCCTCTCTCACCATCATTGACACTCCAGGTTATGGAGACACCAGAGGAATAGATAAGGACACGGAAATCGCTCGAAACTTGCATGAATTATTCCTACATGGTACTGGAGTGAAGGATCTTGATGCTGTGTGTCTTGTACTGAAAGCATCTCAGAACAGAATCTCAGAGTTTCAGCGCTACATTTTTGAAGCAGTTCTGTCCTTATTCGGTAAAGACATAGAGGACATTATAGTGCTGTTTATTACACACTCAGATGGAGGACCACCAACAAATGCCCTGGACGCCATCAAGAAAGAAAAGATCCCCTGCTGTTACGATGATGAGAATGAACCTGTTCATTTCCTTTTTAACAACCGTCAGTCTGAGAAACAGACAAAAAGATATGAGTACGTTTACAAATCATCTTGGGAAATGGCTGCAGGTAGTGTTGGAGAATTTTTTGAATTCCTAAAATCACGACAGAGAAAAAGCTTAACTATGACAGTAAGTGTTCTAAAGGAGCGCATGCAGCTTGAGGCCTGTGTTGAGGGTCTGAAGGAACGAATCAAGTACAAGGAAGCAAAACAGAGTGAACTGACTGAAGTTCAGAAAGCTCTGAAACAGAACAAAGAAATGATTGAGAAGGATGAAAATTTTACTTTCACTGTCACAACAGTTCACAAAGAGAAAATCAATATTACAGGTGCTTCATGGCGGAACCGAAAGGTGACCTCCTGCAAAGAATGTGAGGAGAACTGCCATGAGTATAACTGCTGGACTGCCATAAATGCCAACTGGTGCAAAATTATGGAAGATAATTACTGCACTGTGTGTAACTGCCACTGCTCCACACATGTCAGAGAGGGCAAGAAATATGTGACAAAGTGGAGAGAGGAAAAGGTCACATTCGCAGAACTGAAAAAGAAATATAGTAATACAAAAGAAGTAAATGCTTTTTATGATATATGTGTATTGAAACACGTGGAAACAGAGCATGAACAAATACTCAAAGTGAAAGAAGAGATGACAATTATGGAAAGCAGACTGAAAACACTCCTGGCTGAGAATGAAGAACAGAAGAAGAACCTGGTGAACAATGCCTATGTGACAATCATAAAACTGTCTGAGATTGCGTTAAAATCAGACTCTGCCTTCACCATACAGTACCTTGACTTCCTGATTCCTCGAGTTGAAGAAGCTGGAGCTGCAGAGTGGGCTCAGAGACTGAGGGACATGCAGAGAGCAGCCAGAGAATCAACTAACTCTGCAGTGGGCTATTTAAGGAAAATGAATAAGGGCACTCAGAAAGCTGCAGCCAAAGAATCAACTAGCTATGCAGGGGAGTTTTCAAGTAGCAGGAATGAAGACACTACAGCTACAGAAGTAACGTCCTATGAAGTGGGGCATGTGAGGAGGATGAAGAATTTCTTTAGTGAAAATTTTCAGAATACCTTTTGATTATAAAACATACCATCTCAAAAATAAATCATGTGCAGCATTGGACTAGCACACTCGTTTAGGCAGACTCTTTGTAAACTTACAAAGTTCTTGTTACAGCATGAGTAGATTGATTAAATCAAAGTCACAAGTTGATTTCTCAGCATTGCAAAGCTCTTTTATTTTTAAATTATACTTTTACTTTAAGTATATTTAGTAGTAAAGGAATGATTCGCTATTCTGCTGTTTTTTATTATTCAGTTACATTTTAATCAAAGACATTTCAAGAGCACACTGAGGTCTGGACCTCGTAGTTTCAGAAGGGTTTTTTCTTCACAGGTATCACAGACCTATCAAATGGGCATAAATCACTCTTATTTATACATTTGTTTATAAAAGCTGTGTGGTCCAAGGGTGATTAACCTTGCATATTATCATTGAACAGAGGAATGTGGTACCTTCAGGTATCTCGAAATTGCTCCCAAGGATTTACCATACTTGTGGAGGACCACAGTTTTTCTGATTTCTGACTGTTTCATTTGATTTTCCTGTGATGTCAAGCAAAGAGGCAAGTAGTTCTTGAAGGCAGACCTTAAAATACTGTCAAATTAGCTCAAATGATGTCAATTAGCCTATCAGAGGCTTCTAAAGCCTTGATATAATTTTCTGGAATTTTCCAAGCTATTTAAAGGCACCGTCAACTTGGTGTATGTAAACTTTTGACCCACTGGAATTTGTATATAGTGAATTATAAGTGAAATAATCTGTTTGTAAACATTTATTGGAAAATTGCTTGTGTCATGTACGAAGTAGATATTCTATACAACTTGTTAACACAGAATGACATGGAATCTGTGGAGGGGATAAATATGAGTTGTAATGATTTCAGCCTAAGTCTATGTACATTTGTGACTTCAACTATATATATTTTATATGCTGTATCCTCTGTGTTTATGCTTTCTTCCTGGGTTTTCAGAAATTAGTGTATGTGACTGTGAATGTGGTAGAATAAGCAGTAGAGGTTTCGGATCAAATCGGCCAAACCCACTGTCCTTAGAATAGCAGCCTGTACCTTTATATTACTGTCACTGGTACATAACCTTGACTAGATTTATTACAGGAGAGCCAGTTTGGGCCAGTCCAGGATAAAAATACTCTCTATAATCTGTATGTTCTCCTGCCTACAGCTGGGAGAAAGAGAACGTATAAAACAACTGCAATAAATCTGTAATAAAGCCAGCTTTCTCGTCAGAATGCATGACTCTGTCTAGTGTATTCCCAATGACTTCAAAGTTTTGTTCAACATCTTTATCAACATTGAACAGAATCTATAAAGTATTTCTGTTTCTAGTAAAGTGGCAACTGAGTAGAAGTACAAGGAAGGTGTTTTCAAGAAAGTGGCTGGTGAGTCAAAGTACAAAGTAGGTGTTTCTAATAAAGTGGCCAGTGAGTGAAAGTACAAAGCAGAGCAGAACACCACCCGCAAACTTCCCTTTTTAGGATGATGTACACCATGGTGTGGTATGTACTACTTTTTACCACTGTCCAATTTCAGCTGCTTCTGTGGCCCAAGTTCAGCATGTCCACTTGATAAAACAACATCCATGAATCCTGAAAAAAGTTTTTGAGGAACTTCCTCAGGTGACAAAGCTCACTGCTCAGCTAGAGGTGATGATTATTTGGCATGCTAGGATCATCTTTCTTGAATGTGGTGACGTAGTTCCTGTTTTTTGAAGTTGCTGGTGTGATTGATCTTAGTGTGGCGTTTGCTCCAGCTCCTACAGCACCTGCATCAACCTCAAGTTTAAAGGATTTAGAAAAATCAGGTGCAGCAAACACCTGGGTGTCACACAGACCGGCTTTCACTCTGTCCAAAGCATGCTGACAATCAGAGCTCCAAATAAAGGATTTGGATGGGCTGAGCAAAGTAGTAAGGGATGAGACGACAGTAGAGCAGCTTTTACAAAAATTACAATAATACCCAGCCATATCAAGAAACGTGCGCAACTCATGACGAGTTGAGGAAGTAGGAAAATCTAAAACGGCAGCAATCTTAGCATCTAATGGCCGCACTTGTCCATGTCCTACTTGTTTGCCAAGATATGCCACTGCAGCATGAGCAAACTCAAACATGGCCAAATTAAGCTTCAAAGAAGCGTGTGCTAGTCTTTCAAAAACTGTTTTTAACACGTTCAAATGAGCAGGCCAGTCCATGGTATAAACAACAAGATCATCTAGATAAGCTGAACAATTTGGAAATCCTGACATCACAGCATATTAGTCTCTGGAAAGTAGCATGAGCATGCTTGAGCCCAAGGGCCATAACGGTATACTGAAAAAAAGAGTCTGGAGTGACAAAAGCTGAAATCTCTGATGCATGAGGAGTTAACGGCACTTGCCAGTAACCCTTAAGCAACTCTAATTTAGAAACAAAACGAGCTGAGCCAACATTGTCTATAAAATCTTCCATCATGGGCAAAGGATATGAATCAGGGACTGTAACAGCAAACAGTGTGAACTCCATGGGCTACTAGGCTTGGCTAAGCTATTCTCTAAGAGATACACAACCTCTTTTTTCATAGCTGCTCTTTTAGCTGCATTAACACAGTAGGAATGCTGTTTAATGGGAGTAGACGTTGTAACTTGTATGTCATGCTGTAAGCATTGGTCTGAAAAGGGACATCTTGGAAAATAGAGGGAAATTCATGAATCAAATGTTCAATGTCTGTCTTTTGGTGGTCAGGTAAGGGGACTAAAGGAGAAGAGAGGTTTGGAAGTATGTCAGAATTTGGAAGCCCACTTGAAGTGTGTGGAACATTTCCCAACACTAGTCCGTCTGGATAATCAGCAGACTGATCACTAATATCTGAAACAGTCAACACAGAAACAGTGTCATTCTTAGAAGACTTCCTGGGCTGAAATTTCCTAGGGACTGCCCTCTTCTCAAAATTGTGCTTCGTACAAGCTTTGTAATCTAAATTATTATGTTCTTTATCAACTTCAGCTAAGAACTCTTTAAGAACTTTTAAAGGACCCCAAACAGAATGTTCAAAGACTAACTGAGAAGGACTGAATCCTAGGGATTCTTGGAAAGCTTTGCATACAGCAGATAACACAAGGGGCACACCATCATCTTAATCTTTTCCTCTATCTAAGCAGTACTTTCTAAGCATAGACTTCAAAGACTGGTGAGATCTCTCTCAAGGGCTCCTTGAGACTCAGGGTGACTAGAAACTTGGTGAGCTATGTTCAAAGTTTTCATCACTTGTACAAACAGCTTGGACAGAAAGTTAATACCTTGATCTGTCTTTATAGCCTTAGGCAAACCAAAAGTAGGAAAGAATCTGATGAGAGCTTTAACCATAACAGGAGAAGTAAATAGCTTCTGGAAATCAAGTACCTGCACACATCATTATCAACAAATGCATTACCAACTGATTTCCAGACTTAGTTTTGGGCATAGGGCCAACACAGTCAACTAGTACAGGTTCAAAAGGTTCTCCTATTACGGGAATAGGATGAAGAGGGGCTGGAGGAATAATCTGATTAGGTTTTCCAGTACACTGGCATGTATGGCAGGACTGACAAAACTGTACAAGATCCTTCCTAAGAGCATGAGAAAATGTTTTAGTAATACTCAAATGCCCTGACCTGGGGTGATCATGAGCTACCTGTAGTACATGCTGTCTGTAAACACATGGAATTACAATTTGACAGACACTATCTATGTCCGTGTCATTGTGGGAAGACCACTTGCGCATTAAAATACCTGCATGTAAGAAAAATGCAACTTGCGAAAAGTGTGGGGTACTCCCTGGAGAGTTCTTCTGGCAAAGAGGACTCAACAACTTTGTTCAACACTTCTAAAACTTGTAAGACCTTACCCCCAGCTATGTCATCATCCATGATGAACATAATGCCTTCCACAGGCAAAGACTCACAAACCCCTACTCTAAACAACCCAGTAGCTAAACCAGAGCACAGTGACACATAGTGAAGAGGAACCGTAACAAAGTGCATGGCTATTCCTTTACAAATGACGTGAGTGCAACAATATGACTGGTCTGAGGAGGGTAAAACTCCAGCTAGAAGAAATTACTGGGTAGCTCCAGTATCACAAAGGATTCTGCTCCTCAACTACCAAAGAAACAGTACCTTGCATCACAAAGGGCTGGTAACTAGCATCAGGGGACTTAGTCTCAGCCTCACAAGCAACAGGAACAGGATTGACTGTCGTAACCAAAGCAATGCTTCGGCTCTGGCTGGGACCTTGCTTTGACTTTTCCTGTTTTCTTTTCAAAGCTGGGCAATTTGCAATTATATGGTCTGGTTTGTGGCAATAAAAACAGAAAGAGGAAGGAGGAGAGCTCGACCGACCACAGGGACTTAGGCTGACAGTCTGCAGGCACAGGGAGTTCTACTCTAGTTTGTTTTTGTGTGTCTATACCCTAAGACCTTTTTTCATTAACAGCTGAAGTGCACTGTTTTGTCATAATAAAATATACCAGTCTTGCTTGAAATGTGGACACATCTTTCCAAACTGTAAAAATATGATTTTTATCACGTTCAGTTCCGCCTCTGTAGCGCCCCTCTGGTTCAACTCTGCTATAGGCCCGGATGACTTTGGTACGAAGACACGTCACAGAACGCAAATCAGTCAACCAACGTTACCACCTGTGATGCCCTACTCGTACTGCACTCAGAAATATGAAAGCATAGGAGCCTAGAGCGAGGAGATAACCACACTCATGCGCTGAACTAAATACCCACAAGGCTGCGATATGCCAGATGTCTGTAACAGTCTGTGACCTCGATGTCAAACTGAATAAAAACTTAGTGTTCAAAGAAATCCACTTTATTCATTTGGAATTCAAATCAGGACTCAGGTTATATCAAATATGGACCTGCTGAACAGATTTAGAAGCTAGAATTAGAAGCTAGCTGTCATGGTTTTAGGGAATGTTCTACCATTAAGACACCTCTGCCGCTCACTGCTAATCATTTTCTGGCACTACATTAATACTTTGGTGGCTTGAGTCTGTGGCTTATACTGGTGCCCCTCCCATTTTTAAGCATTTTTCAAATTCAGCCAGGGGTGGAGTTAGCTGAAAATGGGGTATAGTTACTCTTTAGATTTTTCAAGCAGGATCAACTCACGTAAAGATTCGACGCCAGTGGTTTTATTTGCATGACACCATTTCTCTAACAAAGTCTCTTTCTTTCTAGCAAACACAATAAAGGTTTGTGAAGAAGTTTTCTTAAAGTTTCTGAACTTTTGTCTATATGCCTCAGGCACTAACTCGTAAGCATGAAGTATAGCTGCTTTCACCACCTCTGAAGACAATCCTGTAAAGGCAAAGATGATCAAACCTCTTGTGCTTTACCTATGAGCTTACACTGGAGAAGAAGGGCCCAGACATCCTTAGGCTAGTTCGAAGCAATAGCGATGTGTTCAAAAACACCAAAATAAGTGTCCACCTCAGCCTCTCTAAAGGGTGGCACTAACACAGTGTGTTTACTCACATCGAATGCAGCAGAAGCAGTAAAAGCTGTAGCAGAGGGAGCAGAATGAGGCATAGGGACAGGCCTTATTGAAGGAAACAGTGAAGAGGATGCTGGGGAAAGAGGAGGAGAGAGGAGACTATCCGGTTTAGAAGCGGCCTGGGAAGTGATCCTCATCACTTCTAGATCCTGCTCCCGTTGCTGAATTTCCTGCTCCACCTCCAGTTCCATCTTGCGCAGCATTAATTTCAGCTCCATCTCCACTTCTTGTGCGTTTCCTTGTGCCTTTATTTGGAGTCGTGCTATATACACCTTGGCATGGGCATCCTCCCTTGATCCTGCAGATGAAGAGGGAGACAGAGGATCAAAACACGGTAATGTAGCTCTGGCTTCAACCTCAGGTCCAGCACAGGAGGAGTTGTTTCAGTTCTCCCAGCATCGCCAGCCATAGTGGTGTCAGTGGGTGGTGAAAACTCTAAGTCAACTAACTCAACTAACCTATCAAAAACCTTACTTCTAATTTCCTATTTAAGCAAGCCCTTAGAGACCTCCACCCCATAGCGAGTCGCTATCTCTAGCAAAGCATCCTTTCGACACTCCTCTGAAACCTTAAGAGGGAAGCAATTAAAACTTGTAAGTCAAAACTTGCCATACCTCATGCACGGTCACCAGCATCAGCATGACATAAAAATTCACAACAGACAGGATACAGTTATCCCAGACGAGCCCCCAGTTTTTACATCCCCACTAAAGAGCTACAGTCTAGGGCAATAACCAATTATTTTGTTTAATTGGTTAATTTTAACAAATTACCTAGATAGATTGATGTAGATTGGTGAGTGTCAAGTGACTGGCAGGAGAGGAGGGATATGGCAAAACAATAGATTTTATTTA